TGAAGAAGGGCTTTCTTCGGCTGTGAAAGACGAACTTTCCCGGGCGCCCAGGGCGGAGTCTATGGACCAGCTGACCAAATCAGCGCTGGCCATAGGAGCGCGCCAGGAGGCGAGAGCATTGGAGAGGCGGGAAGGGAAAGGGGAACGTTGGAAGGAGTTCCGCATTCCAGACATTCCAGAGCCAACTTTCCCACCGGCAGAGCCGATGGAAATCGGAACAGCGCGCGCGCGCAGTTTCAAAGCCCAGTGAGGGGGCAAAGAAGGAGGGAAAAGGCGCCCGGAAATGCTATCTCTGCCAACAGCCAGGTCACTTTGCCAGAGTCTGCCCCCAGAGGAAAGAATGGCAAGGGATGGTAGGAGCTGTGGATGGAAGAGAGGAAATATACCGGAGCAAGTAAAAGCCAACGCCTGGCTGCCACTGTCAGGCACAGCAGCCAGGCCAAAGAGCAGTGAGAGTGCCCACGCCAGAACCTCCTAAACCCGCCCTAGTGATAGAAGTGACGCTAGAGCTGCCAAACGGACACCCTCTAAAGATAAAGGCGCTGTTGGACTCAGGCAGCTCCTGCAATTTCATGAGCAAAGAGTTTGCAGCTGAACACCAGATACAGACGATCCTTTTAAGCAGCCCCCTGCAGGTGACCACGATCGATGGCAGGGAGCTGTTGGGTGGAGAAGTCAGCTTGCAGACCGTCCCAATGATAATGAAGGTAGCAAGGCACACCGAACTGATAGCTTTTAATGTGGCCACCTTGGGAGGAGCTCCCATTATATTGGGGATGAGCTGGCTAGCGTTACATGATCCGCTGGTGGGCTGGCATCAGAGAGTGGTTTCTTTTGGTTCAGCACATTGCTTAGAACACTGCAAAGAGGGAAAGGGTTTGGCAGGGGTCCAAGCCACCCTAGCAGGGACTGAAGTAACAGAGAACGTGAAGGTACCACGACAATATGCAGATCTCCGTGACGTCTTCAGCGAAAGGGAAGCTGACCAACTACCCCCGCATAGACCCTTTGACTGTCAAATCAACTTACTCCCTGGAGCACAGCTCCCTGTAGGCAAGCTGTACGCCATGTCAGACAGAGAGATGCAGGAGTTAAGAGAGTTCATTGACAAGAACCTGAAGAGAGGGTTCATCAGAGAGTCCAGGGCGGTGGGGGCAGCCCAGTGTTTTTTGTGGATAAGAAAACACGAACAAGCCGAGGCTGGTGTGTGACTTCAGGGCCTTAAATGCAGTGTCAGAACCAGTAGCCTTCCCTATGCCCAGGATTGACGACATTTTGACAAGGGTGCGGAAGGGAAAGATTTTCACAAAGCTGGACCTAAGGGGGGCGTACAACCTGGTACGAATAAGGAAGGGGAATGAATGGAAAACCACTATGTTCACCCCTTTAGGGGCATTTGAATATTTGGTTATGCCCTTCGGCCTACAAGCAGGCTCCGCAACATTTCAATCGTTTATGAACCACGTCCTGGGGCCTTTGCTTTACAAGAATTGTGTGGCCTTTTTAGACGACGTGTTGGTGTATTCTGAGAATGAGGAGCAGCATGTGAGAGACGTCAGAGAAGTGTTGAGCAGGCTGCAAGCCAACCAGCTGTGGGTGAAACTGGAGAAGTGTCAGTTTCATACCAAGGAGGTGGAATTCCTGGGGTATCGCCTGTCAGACAAGGGATTGGCCATGGATCCCGGCAAGGTCCAGGCGGTGCTGGAATGGAAAACACCCAAAACAAAGAAGGATGTGCAGAGGTTCCTAGGATTTGGGAACTTCTATCGTAAGTTCATCCGAAACTTTGCCCACCTGACGGCGCCCATTACGGACTGTCTCAGCAGTAAGAAGAAGTTCGTGTGGACTGAGGAGGCGGAGCGAGCATTTGAGGAACTAAAAGGGGCCTTCGCCTCGGAACAACAACTCCTGCATGTGGATTTACAAAACCGATGAGAGTGGAAACTGACGCATCAGACAGAGCGATTGGGGCGGTGCTTCTGCAGCCAGGCAAGAAGGGGTCAGAGTGGAGACCGTGTGCCATTTTTTCGCGAAAGCTGAACAAAACCGAGAGGAACTACACGGTGTATGACCGAGAACTACTAGCCATTCATGAGGCGTTCCGGAGATGGAGGCACCTGCTAATTGGCGCACAACATAAGGTGCAAGTGTGCACTGACCACAAGAACCTAGAGTATTGGAGGACGGCACGAGTGCTCAACCAACGGCAAGTGAGATGGGCCCAGGAGTTCTCCAAATTTAACTTTGAGATTAGTTACGTGCCAGGCCCAGAGAACATTAGGGCGGACGCTCTCTCACGCAAACCTGAATATTTGGAGGGGGAGGGGGCACCCGAAGAGAGACATGTCATTCCAGAGGACCGCTGGGTGTGTGGGGCGGCATTGGTGGGACAAAGAGGACTGGGTAGAAAAGTTGGCGCTGGCGGAATTTGCCTACAACAATGCCGAGAATGTGTCCACAGGGATGAGCCCCTTCTTGGCTAATTATGGGTGTCATCCCAGGGCTTTCCCAGGGGGAGAGGGGGAGAGATGGAGCGTCCCGGCAGCCGAGCATTTTGTGGAAGAAATGGAAGCAATCCATCGTCAGCTCCAACTCAACTTAGAAAGGGCGAAGGAAGAATACAAGAGGCAGGCAGACAAGAACCGAAGGGAAGGTGAAACCATAAGGGTGGGAGATAGGGTGTGGCTGTCAACCCAAGGGCTGCCGCTCAAAGGAGGTTGTAAGAAATTAAGACCCAGGAGGTTGGGTCCCTTTGAGGTCATTCAACAGGTCAACCCAGTGGCTTTCAGGCTCCGGTTACCCAACCACATGAAACTGCACCCAGTATTTCACAGGTCGTTACTGTCACCGCACGAAGGGGGACGAGAAGGGCTGGCCACTGGGTTGACCGGTCGTAGAAGAAAGAGAATGCAGCAGCCATGTGGCAGAAATCCTCGACGCCAGGTGGAAGGGGGATCAGGTGGAGTATTTGGTAGCGTGGGAAGGAGAACCGGAGTCAGAAAACACTTGGGTAATGGCTGAAGATATCAATGACGAGGTATTGATAGAAACGTTCCATCAAAGGTTCCCAAGGAAACCTCAGCCTGTGGAGAGGTTCCGGAGGGAATACTTTGGGACCACTGATGAAGGGGAGGAGTTGGAAGGATTCCTAGACTCGGAAGGGGAAGGGGAGATGGACTCTGAGGAGGAGGTGTACTTCGAGACCAGGAACCGCAACAGGTTGAGAGAAGTGTTCGAGACATCGGAAGATGAAGGAAGTTCATTCCGGGTTTTGCCTCCTCACCGCCCGTAGAGGAGGGGGCGAGAGGGGTGAAGGGGGCCCTGGAGGGGAGGTGGATGTCAGGGAACTGCCATCGGACGGAAGGGAGGTGAAAGGGCTCACACAGGTTGGGAGAGACGCAGCAGCTGAAGAGGGAACCAGCAGGGAGGTGAAAGGGCTCACACAGGTTGGGAGAGACGCAGCAGCTGAAGAGGGAACCAGCAGGGAGGTGAAAGGGCTCACACAGGTTGGGAGAGACGCAGCAGCTGAAGAGGGAACCAGCAGGGGGAGAGGAGCTGAGCTGGAGGGATGGCTCAGAGACACTTCCAGCGAAAACAGTGGGGAGGTTTCAGGACCTCCTGTAAGAACACCCACTCCTCGCCGGAAACTGTCACGCAGAGATTCCAGAAGACGTGCTTCCGTTAAGGAGCTTTTATGTTGGAAGCGACTACGAAAGCAACCACTGTCGGAATCTGCTAGTGACTAGAGTAGCCATGTCTGAGGGGCTCCGTCACAGACAGAGGTTTGTGGACTTGAACAAACTCTGAGGGGATACGATTTTACGCACAAGCAGCTCATCATCCCATCACAGTGTGTTTTCAATGTGCAGTGTGGATCGGACCATGGTTCACCCAGTCCTGAAAAGGATGCTCAACACACTGGCTAACCAAGCCCTTATAACTTTCAACTCTCTGAAGCAGCTGAAGCAACCAGGCATTCTGCAACCAGTCCCATAGGTGCTATTCCCTTTTTACACCATTGCGTCCCTAAGTGATGTCTTCAAATGTTATATCCACTGAGGAAGGATAATCTGCATCTCTCTGCCAGGCAAAGCCCCCTCATGTGTGAAATGCGTTGCCTTCCCCTTTAAGGAGTTTACTGCCTCAGTGACCTTTATGTTCAACAAAGAGGCATTTTAATCTCCTACCCAGCTTCTCCACTAAGTGGTTTCTCATTTGACTGGCATTATTGAATGAGCTTTCTGCACTGGCTGGTTCTATTAAGACATCAGAAACTGGACTGAAACTCTCTTTCTGCAGCATTTACTGCTGGTATTATTGATTATTATTATTATTATTATTATTATTATTAGATAAACTTAGCTCACTGACTGTTTATAACCCAGATTCGTATGTCCAGTGGATGATGCGTGAAAAAGGACAAGAACATCATTAATTAAATCTCTTTTGCTCATCAGAACTGCTTAGCTCAGCTGAGTTAGGGAAGGAAAGCAATGCGTTGGATTAGTATTAACAATATATCAGATCTGTAGCCAGCAAAAGTGGGACTGAGTTGCTCACAACACTGAGGCAGCCTGGAAGAACTTAATAGCTATATTCTACCTCCACAGTCAAAGATGATGTCCTTCTAGGAACAAGAGAAAGCAGCCTTTCAATGAGTCGGACCAGATCTAGCTCAGTATTGCTTACACTGACTGGCAGAAGCTCTCCAGAGTGGGGTGGTCAGGTTTGTTCCACATATCTGTTTGTTTATTGCATTTATATCCCACCTTCCAAGGAGATCAGGGTGACTTACATGCCCTTTCCCTTGTCACTTAATCCACAAAGCAACCCTATGAGGTAGGGTAGGCTTAGAGGTGGTGACTGCCCCAAGATCACCGGTGAGCTTCATGACCAAGTGAGGATTTGAACCCTGCTCTCATAAAATCATAGAACTGTAGAGTTGGAAGGGACCCTCAGAGTCATCTAGTCCAACCCTCTGCAATGCAGAAATATGCAGCTGTCCCCTACAGGGATCGAACCTGTGACCTTGGCATTATCAGTGCCAGGCTCTACCCAACTAAATGCTCTAATCACTGTACTACATCATACCCTCCAACATTTCTCTGATGAAAATAGAGAAATCCTATTCCATGCCCTCCAATATTTCTCTGATGAAAATAGAGAAATCCTATTCCATAACCTCCAACATTTCTCTGATGAAAATAGCGACATCAAATGCTATTTTCCTAGAAAAAGAGGTGCCACAACTCACCACGAACCCCTCCTTTGCATTCATAGAATGGCAATGACACCCACCTGAGAGGTGCTGGAACTGAGTTCCAGTGAGTTTTGGGTGGGAAAAAAGCCCTGGGGATGTCTTATGCCAAACCCTTCAAAATTTCTCCGGTGAAAATAGGGATGTCCTAAGGAAAAGCAGGACATCCCGGGATCTAATCAGAAACTGGAACGGCGTCTGTAAATCTGGTACTGGCCCTGGAAAATAGGGACACTTGGGGGGTCTTTTTGAAAGAAATGTTACAGCATATCCCTTTAATGCTCTCATCCTAAACATTCATTCATTCATTCATTCATTCATTGAAACATGTTTCCTCTGTAGTAATTCATTTGCTTTTGGTGTAGACTGCTTTTGACTATGCATGCTTAGGATTCCTCCCTCAGTTAATGTCCAGTGTATGATTTAGCTATTTTTGGTATGCAATTTTTTAAAAACAACAACAACAACAAATAGTGTCTTCTCTTTATCTAACCTGAGCAGTCCAGCAATGAGAGGGGACAGGAAAAAGCTGGGAGCAGAAGTGACTTGTTAGATGGGCCTTTGCTCTTCCCTGGTGCTACCTATTCTTTCAGGCTTTTGCTCAGGTCAGAAGATGACCCCTTAAAAATGGGTGGCTGACCAGCCATTAGCAGCTTTTGTTAATTTCTGGCTTCAGCAGCTGCATCTCCAGGGGCAAGGAGCCACTGTGGCTGGGTCATCATTAACATGCGCTGGGATGCTCAAGGTTTTTCAAAAGCACTTGTCAGTCAAGTGCTTGCCCATTATTTTAAAGTTGGCGATGGGGGGGAGGCAGGGACACATGGATATCTTAAAAACAACAACAAAAGCTCACACGCCGCAGCGCACACACACACACACACCATCGCTGTGCTAACAAGAGGGCGGAAATGATCAAAAGTGTCGGCGTTCTCGAGCACTGCCTCTCTTTAACAACAATTTTTAACTAATTAGGCTTTACACAGGAAATCAAATGAAATGGCATGAAGACTCAATTTCCCATACAGCTGAGGATCTGACCTTTTAGGAGTGGGGGAAGAAAATTATTTTTAATTAACATGATTAATCATTTCCTGTTGTTTCCAGTTAATTGGTTTTGTTTCTTTTTTTAAAAAAAGCCCAAGTCAGAGGGCTGGCAGCGGCAAGGGAAAGCGATAGGCGAAAGAGATGGTGTTGCCGGCAGTTTTAAACCCGTTAGCTCCTGCAGACGTTCCTGTGCAAATAAGGAGACTGTAACATTGGTCTTTAATTTTCCCATCAAGTCTCTTAACCCAGTGTGTGTATGTTTAGAAAGTCTGCTTAGGAGCCAGGCAAAGATTTCATCTTGCAAATTAATTACTGAAACACCAGCAGAGACCTCATCAGCACAAGATGCCATAAGTGACTCAAAACCACCCTTCAGCAAGTCCTGTATGCATCTCTATTATTCGGCTGCATTCAAAGCTGAGTAATATTGTGCTAGTTTTCCTGATTACAGTGGACGCTCGGGTTGTGAACGTGATCCATGTGGAAGGCATGATCGCAACCCGCAGTGCTGCATCTGCACATGCGTAGGTTGCTATTTGGCGCTTCTGCGCATGCGCAAAGCGCAATTTAGCATTTCTGCGCATGCTTGACCGTCAAAACCCAGAAGTAACCCATTCCGGTACTTCCGGGTTTCGGTGGGTCCGTAACCTGAAAAAGCGCAACCTGAAGTGTCTGTAACCCAAGGTATGACTGTATAATGCTTGCGCTTCCATCCTGTTTTTGAACATCACTTTCACTCTGCAGTGCCTGCTGCATTATGGAACTCTGGCTTTCTGACTAATACACTAATCTGCTAAATTTCCTGCAAACAATGAACATCAAGGGCCACTAGTAATGATGGCTACACTCTGCCTGCATTTTCAGAGGCAGTAATGCTTCTGAAAATCACAGGAGGGGAGACTGCTCTTGTGCTCATGCCTTCCTACAGGCTTCCTACAGGCATCTGAGGGGCTGCTGTGAGAACAGGATGCTGGACTAGATGGGCCAATGGCCTGATCCAGCAGGCTCTTCTTGTGTTCTTAAGTTCACATTGTTGGTGGCAAGGAAATATAAGCAGAAAAGGAGAACTCCCTGGATGCCAAGATCCAGGTTTGGGGCAAGTACTCTTTGGTAAGAGAACCCCAGCAGAGATTTAAAATCACAAAACAAGCAGTGAAGTAAAGCGTGGAAATATAAGCTGTTAGACCAGCCTTTCTCAACCTGTGGGTCCCCAGATGTTGTTGAACTACAACTCCCATCACCCCTAGCTAGCAAGGCCAGAGCTCAGGAATGATGGGAGTTGTAGTCCAACAACATCTGGGGACCCACAGGTTGAGAACCACTGTGTTAGACCATCAAAATACAGTGGTACCTCAGTTTAAGAACAGTCCTGTTAAAGAACGATTGGTCTACAAACACCGCAAAACCGGAAAGAGTGTCCCAGTTTGAGAACTTTACCTTGGTCTAAGAACAGAATCTGAACGCTGGAAGGGCACCGGCAGCGGGAGGCCTCATTAGGGAAAGCGCACCTTGGTTTAAGAACCATTTTGGTTTAAGAACAGACTTCTGGAATGGATTAAGTTCATAAACCAAGGTACCACTGTACTCTGTTCTAAGTTCCTTCCAAAGTTCCTCTCTTCCACTAGCATAGAAAAAGACAACACATTTGGTAAGTTAAAAATGGTTTACTTACAAACTCTCCCAATGTCTGTTTCATGTGTTTTTTCCATGCAGCATTCAGGGGGGGAAATGCACAGGCAGTAAAGCTTGGCTTAGTTACAGTGGTGTGAAAGTTCCTAAATTATTGATATAGGATCTCAAGAGTGGTTTGTAAGAGCCATGTGGTCTGAGCTGCAGTAACCAGATGAGACAACTTGACACGTTGAGCTTCTTTTGTAGACTGAGATACAACAATAGGCTTGATTACCTTCCTCCCAAGGTGAGGGGGAGTGACCTAGCTAAGCCTGGCAGGACAGCTCACTCTATGGCATTAACCCTTTCATGCATTAATTAGACTTAAGCATGTTGGTTATATGAGGCTGGTTATCCCACACACATGTTCCCGGAGTTTTCTGATCCACATCCTAGAAGGATCACAGGCCGCTTCAACTTGCCACACCCCACCTCCTCAGACTGGTGAAAGAGACTAACATGAACTAATGATGTGATTCCCCAAACAGTAAAAATATGTTCAAAGGGAAACATTTTCCTTTTCCCTAAAGCGGTGCTGAGTCAATTGATGCAGTAAGCAGGCGCCACGCTGCAGAGGGTGGGAATGGGTGACTTTGGAAGGGGGCAATCAAACGCAATTAGTGCAGCCGAAGAAACTGCACTAGAAAATGCACTTTGTTCGTCATTTATTTTAACAAGTGTCATTTACTTTCAATTATTTATGGCCCTACTTAGAACTCTCATAAAGGCGCTCCGGCATATTGTGTTAAAAGTAATGGATTCTGGTAATACAAAACCGGGGTTATTACATTTTGTTGAGAAATCGGAGGACATCACGGATAGCATTGGTTAAGATAATTGGATCTGTAGGTTAGTCAGCGAGGGAGATGATTTGGTTCCTACACAGGCATTGAAAAAGAAGAAATAAACGTGTGCCCATTGTCATGGAGGGAGAAAAAAATCCAAGTCCAAGTCAGGCCATCTTGCTCAGTATTGACTACAGTGGTACCTCAGGTTAAGATACTTAATTCGTTCCGGAGGTCCATTCTTAACCTGAAACTGTTCTTAACCTGAAGCACCACTTTAGCTAATGGGGCTTCCTGCTGCTGCCGCGCTGCCGGAGCACAATTTCTGTTCTCATCCTGAAGCAAAGTTCTTAACCTGAAGCACTATTTCTGGGTTAGCAGAGTCTGCAACCTGAAGCATATGTAACCTGAAGTGTATGTAACCTGAGGTACCACTGTACACTGGCAGGCAGAGGCTCTCCATGGTTTCAAGCAGAAGTCCATCCAACCACCCACCCCAGCCCTACATGGAGGGGCTTTGAATTGAATCAGGAACCTTCTGTATGCAAGGCCGATGCTCTAGCACTCCCCTATTACCCTTCCCATGGTGCTGCATCTACTCCTGTATCACCCTTCCCCTCGGATGATGCAAGGAATAATTTTGCTTGGAGTATAAAGCCATTCTACTGCCTTAAAGGTAAAGGTAAAGGGACCCCTGACCATTAGGTCCAGTCGTGACTGACTCTGGGGTTGCGGTGCTCATCTTGCTTTATTGGCTGAGGCAGCCGGTGTACAGCTTCCAGGTCATGTGGCTAGCATGACTACGCCGCTTCTGGCGAACCAGAGCAGCGCAGGGAAACACCGTTTACCTTCCCGCCGGAGCGGTACCTATTTATCTACTTGCATTTTGACGTGCTTTCGAACTGCTAGGTTGGCAAGAGCAGGGACCGAGCAACGGGAGCTCACCCCGTCGCGGGGATTCGAACTGCCAACTTTCTGATCAGCAAGTCCTTGGCTCTGTGGTTTAGCCCGCAGCGCCACCCACTTCCCTTCTACTGCCTTAGCAGGGACATATTTACTGCAAGGGCCAGAAGATGGGCAAACATTCCAGTCCCCTCAAGGCTGGGGAGGAACACGGCCAGTAAGACATGCCTTTTTAAATTTTCTATTTTCAAAAATATACATTTATACAACATTTACACAACACTCTCTGTTTTTGTTTGTAACAAAAAAGAAAATGATAGCAACTGAAGCAAAGATACTTCGTATACCCCACATGACACTACACATGACAGTACAATTTATGAAAAAAGAAAAAAAAAATAAAGAAGAAAAAGT